CAGCTCTTAGTTTTGTTTAAAAAAAAAAAAATTACTACAGAAAAATGAGAGAAATTCTTCTGTTGCAAAGAACGCAGGAAGACCACGGCGGGGCAGAAAGAGATGCATAGTGTTAAAGCTAGTGTGGCACCTCTGGGTTTCTTGTGAATCAAGTTTGCACACCTACCTGTGCAAACATTGCGTGGCACCCCACAACACCCTTGAAAGGATCTGAAGGCACCCTTGGTGGAGAATCACTGCCATTAGGGGAGGCAGGAAAATCATGAAGCCTGCAGGTGGCAATATGCACCTTAAAATGATGCATTTCAGAGAGAATTGTGGTCAGTGGCTCCTGTACACATTGTCTCCTAGTACAGTGGAAAGTGGCTATCTGGAATAATTAGTGTCCCCATCAAGTTTTATAGCTAATGAAGCACTACAGTATGAAATGCTGAAAACTATACTGACTCCCCAGTTCAGCAAATAGTAAAGCCAACGAGAAATAAATGCATGGCACCATATGGACTTACAAAAAACTAGAACTCTTGGTTCCAAAATGATACCTTTTATTGGCCCAACACGGCTACCAAGTACATCCCTGGCACCATGTAATAGTTGAAGATCTCAAAGCACTGGCAAAAACACCCAATGCTGACAAGCAAAACCCGACTGTGGACTAATGGCTGTGTTAATACTAAACCTTCCAGTTAATTGTCTTTCTGGATAATTGACTGTCTACTATATAGTAGCAGAGGCCCATCCAGCAAAAGTGAAGAGGTGATAGATAGAAACACCTGTTAAAATCAGGGGGGTCCTGTGCCCCCAGGGTTAACCTGTCATTAATTTCTGAAAATCACAGCGGATCGTTCTGCAAGCATGAAAAGTGCTGGTTTAGCAGAAGGCCCCTGAATTTCAGATCAGCTCAGGGTAGGTCAGGATGAACTGTCCCCTGGCAGCTTCCAAGTGACCAACATCAAGACTTGTAGTAGAGATGATATCTTTTATTAGACCAACAAGATTTTTGCAAAAAAAAAAAAAAAAAAAGTCTTTAATTGAATTTAAACATCAAGACAAACTCATATCCAATGTCCAAACTGAAATCAAGTCCAAGCAGGGTTAGCTGCACTCGGGGTGGAATTTTATTTTCCCTAAACAATGGTTTCCACCTGCATAAGTGGCATGTGCGTAAATGTAATGATTCAACTTTCCTTGACGTGTGAATATGAGCCGAGTGCGTGCAAGCTACGCATCGGCCAGGTAGGCCAGGACCTGAACGTGAAACCTGGGGAGGAAAAATGCATACCTCCCATGTTTCAGCCCAAATAACTGGGAAGTGGGCACTGCCCTGTTGTTTTAGGCCCCTCCAAGGGGAGCTTTGGACCCATGCATCGCTGCCTAGCATAGTGCTCTAACCACTAAGTCATCTGCAGTGCTTTGTGTGAAGCTAAGCTACTGCCCCTTGCATTAGAAATTGTCCCTTGTTTCAGGGACCAGGCCAAGCACAATACGAGCCTGTACTATGTGGTGTTCCTTGAGCTTATAGTCTGAGCCCATGACCAAAGAAAACATGTGTGAGCAATAGAAAAGAGGGGGCAGGACCAAGTTGCAGTGATGTGGTCATGTTTAATATAAGAGCCAATCGCTTCAAAGCATCCATTGAAGATATGATGTGCCTAAGTTTGCTCTGCGCAGACAAAGATACAGCCCAGCTTGTGTGCTGCTGCTTATTTGATGCAACTCTAAAGCAGGGCTTTCCTTTGTAGTTTTAGGAGGCCCGACAAAAAAGGAGAAGGGCATGACTGATGCCATTTGATGCCAAGTCACAGATTAAACGCATGCATGGAAGGGATGGCAGGCAGGACTCTTGGATCTATCCACTCAGCTCCCCAAAACAATTGCAAAAAGCTCAGATTGCAAAGTTATGCACTTCAAAATGGTGGTGGGGGTGCTTTAATTCGAACACACTTTAGTTCCAGGGCCCTCTTGGAGCTGCTCTAATTAAAAGCGCCATCCCCCTACCCCCAGACCACATGTAAAAGTGCCTGGAGGTACTAGATTTAATGCACAATACCTAAAGTGCATTAATTAATGTGTAGACACTCCCAAGAATCTCATGCACTGGGACAGGCTGGGGACCAACTGGCTAAGCAGCAGCTCTGCAGAAAAGGACCTGGGGGTGATGGTGGACAAGAAGCTGAACAGGAGCCAGCAGTGTGCCCTTCTTGCCATTGGTAGGAGCATTGCCAGCAGATGGAGGGAAGTTATTCTTCCCCTCTATTCAGCACTGGGGAGGACACATCTGGAGTCCTGTGTCCAGTTTTGGGCCCCCCACTACCAAAAGGATGTGGACACATTGGAGAGAGTCCAGTGGAGGGCAACAAAAATGGTTCAGGGGCTGAGGGACAGGACTTGTAAGGAGAGGCTGAGGGAAATGGGCTGATTTAGTCTGCAGAAAAAAAGACTGAGGAGGGATTTGATAGCAGCCTTCACCTCCCTGCAGGTGGGTTGCAAAGAGGATGGAGTTGGACTGGTTTCAGTGGGGGCAGATGACAGAAGGAGCAATGGGCTCAAGTTGCAGCAAGGGACTGGGGTTAGATTTTAGGAAAAAAACTTTCTCACTAGGAGGGTGGTGAAGCACTAGAATGGGTTACCTAGAGAGGTGGTGCAGTCTCCATCTTTGGAGGTTTTTAAGTCCCAGGTGGACAAAGCCTTGGCTGGGATGATGTAGTTGGGGCTGATCCTGCTTTGAGCAAGGGGCTGGACTAGATGTGACCTTCCAAAGTCCCTTCCAACCCTAATTTTCTATGATGTTATGTGAATGGTGTGGCTGACCCAGCAAAATTGATGTTGGATAATCATTGCCTCAATGCTCGTGGTGCTTGCTTGTAAGAGGATGCTAATATTGGTGTATCTGTCTTCCCACTGGAAGCAGCAGCAGGCAGCATTGATGATATTTCTCCAGTGACTTAAGGCATCTCCTGTTCGTTGTCCACGTCTCAGCTCTGTACAGTGAGGTGGGGATCACAACTGCTGCCAATCCAGCCCTCTATTAAAGCCCAAGTTTGATTTCACGGAGGCAGACTCCAATCTCAGCTACCCCGGGGCTAATCCAGAACAATTCCTCTGTGGTCATCAATCAAAATCCAGTCTAAAACATGTTTGCATTCTTTTCTTTCAGATGACAAATAAGCAGAAAGTCCCAGGTGACACTACAACCACTGCGGGGGTTGTGCAGAGTTGCATTATAAATGCACCCTCCCTGGACGCCTGACAGTGAGATGCTCCAGCAGCACACTCAGGTATTTCTCACTTTTAGGGTAGAAAAGGCATCTTTTTCTGGAGGAGCTCTTTGGTAAGTGCCCTGATTGCAAGAGACAAATATGCTAGTTATTAGGTCACTTCAAACAGGTTTATGAGCTGTAATTATGGACAGTGCATGCTATAAGAAGCAGCTATCTGATCTTGAACAGGAAAAGAGTTGTTGTTTTTTTAATGTGTCAGGTATCCAGGTTGTAGCTGTATTGGTCTAGAGGAAAAGGCAATCAGGACTCGTAATTTTTTTTTTTTAATATTGCATTTTAACATGATGCAGGAATGAGAAATATTTGAATTGAAAGCAAGTTTCCTTATTTGTTCTTTTGTAAATTAAATCAGTATAACTGCAGTAAAACACCTGGTGGCCAGGGCCCTGGGGGCTTTACAGATAAATGGTGATAATCCCTGCCCCTAGATGAAGACAAGGTTTAAGGACTGACTGGGACAAATACAAAGGAGTGCATCCCTAGTTAAACATGCTGGTATAAGACACATTCTCTAACCTGCAGGAAAACGGCCTACCAAATACTGTCTTAGGGGATAATTACAAAGGGAAGCGTTTTTCTCTCAGCAGGGTTGAATGGCTGGGAAGTATTGGTCGTTCATTGTATTTCC